AAATATTATGAGAAATTCTAATGCATACACAAAATCTCACATGATGATGTCAGAGGTAATTCAAATAGAAGCTGAATTAGCAAGACAAATAATAAAGAAATTCCTGAGTTACAATTATTGTTCACGTTGAAAAAAAGCTTTGATGAAAATAGATATAATTCTCAAAGTTTTAATAAAGTTGCTGCAATTTTTAATACAAACTCTAAAAGAGAAATACCAGAATCTAATGAAACGGTTTATAATAAATCTACAAAGCAATTAAAATTGGTTAGTAATTTAGATCCGAATGTTGAACCATGGATTTATCCCATATTTTATCCACTTGGAAATAAGGGTTATAATATTAATATGATTCGTAGTGATAGTGATTACAGAATTAGAAATCATACTATTTCTAGGTCTGCCTACAGTACCGTCTGAAATTGTCAGTCCACCCATTTTTAAAGGAATGAAAAAAATTTGTTAACATAAAATTCATGAAAACTAAATTTTTTTTTGGTTTATATTTTAAAAGACGATCAAATTTTGAAGAGAATAAGACCTTACAGAAGTCATTTGGCCAAAATTTGTAGAAGATATTCTTAAAAATCGTCATTTTTATAGTTTTACAAAAATTTGAATAACTTCTAAAATAATGAACGCTTTTTAATAATCTTAGGCTTATTTTAAAGGTCATTTTCTACGGAATAAGAATTACTTATAGGCATTAACCTGTAATTTTTTACTTGGAATAAGCATGCCGTCAAAGTTGGACAAAAAAATTCAAAAAATTTGAAACAATATTATTAAAAGAAAAATAATTTTTGAAATTCAAACATATTTTTTTATTAAATTTTCTTGAAGAATCTACACCATATCATGTTTTATATATGTTTTAGAATAGTTTTTAGTACAAAAAATTTATTTCAAATTTTTCTAATTTTTTTGTCCAACTTTGACGTCATGCTTATTCCAAGAAAAAAATTACAGGTTAATGCCTATAAGTAATTCTTATTCTGTAGAAAACGACCTTTAAAATAAGCCTAAGATTATTAAAAAGCGTTCATTATTTTAGAAGTTATTCAAATTTTTGTAAAACATTGAAAATGACGATTTTTTAAGAATATCTTGAAAAAATATTTGCCAAATGACTTCTGTGAGGTCTTATTCTTTTCAAAATTTTATCGTCTTTCAAAATATAAACCAAAAAAAAATTTGAGTTTTCATAAATTTTATGTTAAAAAATTTTTTTCATTCCTTCAAAAATGGGTGGACTGACAATTTTGGCCGGTACTGTACATTAAATACAAAATTGCTGTAAGAGATAAAGAATTTAATTAATTTTTATTTGGAGGTAGATTGTTAAAAATGATGTAAAAATAGAAAAAGATAGATTAAGATTTTGTGCAAATAATCAAGCTCAAGTGAGAAGTAAAAGATATAAAGGACTGATGGATTATTTACACAATCATGTGTTGGAAAATGATGTACACGTGTGAAAAACGATAATATTGCCTTCTACTTTTATAGGATCACCTCGAAATATGATGCAACAATATCAGGATTCGATGGCTATTGTTGCTCGTCATGGTAGACCAGATTTATTTATCACAATGACGTGTAATCCAAATTGGAAAGAGATACAGGAAAATTTATTCCCCTATCAAACTGCTGCTGATAGACCTGATATAGTAACTAGGGTTTTCGCATTAAAAGTTAAACATCTACTTAAACCTATTGTTGATAATAAATTATTTGGAGAAGTCAAATCTTATGTTTATGTTATTGAATTTCAAAAGCGAGGATTTCCACACATTCATTTGTTAGTTATATTGAAAGAAAATTCTAAAATGTTAACAGTTGAAAGTGTTGATCGTTATATTTCTGCAGAAATTCCTGATAAAAATATCAATCCTATTTTACATAAAATAATAATGTAAAATAATATTAACGGACCTTGTGGAGATTAGTGTTTAATTGATGGGAAATATTCAAAAAAATTTCCAAAAAGTTACAAAGAAGAAACTACAATTGAAGAAAAATGCTATGTTCATTGTCGTCGAAAAAATAATAATAAAGCGTATGAACGACCAAATGGATTCATTGTTGATAATTCTAATGTTGTTCTGTATTGCCCTAAACTTTCAGAAATATTTGATTGACATATTAATGTAGAAATAGTTTCGAGTATCAAGTCTGTTAAATATTTATATAAATATATTCTCAAAGGGCATGATGATGCATCTATTGTTATCACAAATGCGAATGGTGAGGTAACTGTTAATTATAATGAAATACTCGGCTCTGCATGGCGCCTTGCCATGCGAGGTCACTGCTCTCGTAAATAAAAGGTCTCTGGAGATCAAGGAGCTGTATGAAACCACGACGGAGGATGAGGTGATTTAAGTTCTAAGAGATAAGCTGGGCAAACCTGATCTGAGGATAGAGTGCCACCTTTTGACGCGCTTCAGAAGTACTAAGATCGCTCTGGTCCGCCTGGCTGAGGCAGAGAGTAACATTCTGCTACAGCTTGGTAGGATCAAAATCGGCTGAAAAACGCTCCAATTCGTGAGCATGTTGAAGTAATTAGGTGCAAAAAGTGCCCAGGTTACGGACACAGAACCCTATTCTGCAAAGGCCCCGATAAAAGTAAAAACTGTCGGAGATGCGGCGGAGAGGGACACCTCGCGAAGAGCTGTAACGTTAAGCCGAAGTGCCTTACTTGCTTGGACCTGGGGAAGCCAGAAACGAATCATGAGTCCAGAAAGAGAGCCTGCCCGGTTTACCGGGAAGACCTGCAAAAGATTAAAAGGGCAAATCTTTAAAATTTTTGCAGGTCAACCTGCATACAAGTAAGGATGCACAGTTGCTCTTAATGCAAACAGCAAGGGAAAATAAGGTCGATATCCTGTTCTGCAGTGAGCAGTATCAAAGAAGCGACCTCGCCCCTTGGTATCAGGATAAGGCGAAGAGAGTCGCCATAAAGCTGTGCAACCCAGAATTGCGGGTTGACAAGTTTCTGGAGACGAGAAGTGGGTTGGTGTGGATAGAGGTAGCTAATATACGTATGTATAGCTGCTACTTCTCACCCAACGACCCACTGACAAACTTCGAAGCCAATATATACCTAGAAGCGAGCCTCACAGAATCCAAGCTGGATGTCATCATCACTGGTGATTTTAACGCAAAGTTGCCAGAGTGGGGTGAGACGAGACTCGACAAGAGAGGAATTCGTATTTGGAGAAATGATCTCCAGAAACGACTTATTGGCTGTAAACCGAGGCAATACATAGACTTTTAGACAAGGTGCGATCGGATCAATTATAGATCTAACGATCGCATCGTCTAAACTATTTAGCCGCATAAGCGACTAGCGGGTCTCTGAGGAATATACCGCAAGTGACCAGCAGTACATTAAGTTCTCAGTCTCGATGGAAGACACACGAGGAGAAAAAAGACAGGATGTTTCTAGTCGCAAAACCTCCTCGTGGAATATGAAGAGACTCGACAAGGAAAAATTCGGCCGGTCCCTAAGAGAAGCCCTTTTAATTGAGGACTTGGACTGGGTGAAGAGGCCGAGCAGTCTGGATGGAGAGGTGCGAGCGGTGAGGAACATGATACCCACGTGGAAAAGTTCCCAGAGTCTCCCGGGAGCAATTCCCGGGAGTCTCTTGGAGTCATTTCCGGGAGTAACTCCCGGGAGTCTCCCGGGAATTTTTATCAGAAGATTCCCAGGAACAATTCTGGGAGATTCTCGGGAATTTTTTTTGGAAGATTCCCAGGAACATTTCCGGGAGTAATTTTGTGAATTTTTGTAAAAATTCACTTAAGAATGCCAAAAATTGTATAAATATATTATATTTACATACCTTTTATATTTATTTAATAAAATAATATCTTGTAACGTTTCAACAAGTTTAAAAAATAAACTTACATTTAAATTTAAAGGGTAGAAAAATTGTGTTTGTAGACGGAAAAACGTGTTACCTGGAACAGCGAAAGTATTAATTGAAATAACTAAAAATTTTGCTTATTTAATAGAGTTATAATTGTGCCATGAAAAGCTTTTTTTGTTTAGGTAAACATTTTTATTATATCCTTTTCGATAATACCTTTAGACACAATATTTGATTATTTTATCAAAACACAAAGTCCAGTTTATTTCATGATTCGAATTAATTTAATTTATTTATAATTTTCGTTGCAATTAACATCAAACAGTATATTACATTGATTTACAGAATTAAATAACTTATATAAAAGCTATAAGTTCACTTTTAATTTTTATAAATTTCGCAGACCTTAAAAAAGTTTTATGTACATTAAAATCGATAAAAAGTTTATTTGAAACAACAAAATTTTATTTGGATTTTCCAAATAAATGCATTGCTACACAGTTAACGAAAGGTTTTGTTAATGTAACAAAATATTTGAATTGAATGTTTCTATTTGAATGGAGCAAATGCGTTGTTGCATTTAACTAAATTTTTTTGTTTCTTTAACCAAATATTTTGTTCTATACAAAGAAAAAAATTTATTATTTCTTACAGTGTTATTTATAGTAATATTCTTACAATGAATATTTAATAGCAAATTTTACATTCAATGAATCCACACTCCTAATCTTGTTTCTTTGATTTTCATAATAAATTTGAGGCGAACGCGGACTATGGACTAAGTTAGACTGTCATTTATAAATCCACATATGTACTTTTTGAAACAGGCAAATATTTTTTTTCAAATAAATGATTTGGTTGGATGAATTAAATTCGTGTATTATATCGAACAAATTGTATTTAACTAAACAATATTTTCTATTGAAAACACTAACGAATAGAACAAAACAAATAGAATTGTGAAATCGATCGATTTAAATTTGATAGGACATTCTCTAGTTTCTTCCAATTAACATGTACATACAATTCGTCGAATTTAGTTAAATGCAACAAACAAATTCATATAAAAATTTTCTTTATATAATATGAATGAATTTGTATAATATGAATACCTATTTACAAAGTCGAAAAGCTAATTACAAACGTGAGCAATGATTGATGTTACTTCCTTTCTACGTTGTTTACAAAGATGCAAATAAAGTTTTCTACTCTTAATACTTTTGAATATATTCGATTTACTGGAATAACATGGATACAATATGAATCACGTATGTGTTTTATATTGCTATTCATGTTAAATTGAATTTCTCTATTTCGGATTTCTTGATTTTTATCTTTAGTCTCTAAAAGTTGACGTAAAACTGCATACAAATTTCCATTCAATTTCAAAAAGTATTTGATAACTCCGAAAAAATCTATTTCATTTTCTTTCCATTGCACATGGAAATTTGTACGCTTTTTTGTGGAGTATATAACTCAGAAGTAAAAATTTCGTCTCTTTTTTTGCATCTTTGAAAAATCTGATAACCTGATTCATGTAATTCTTCAATTGTGAGATTCATTGCATTACATATTGCTCTACGGTCATTGTTCGTGAAATAATGTCTGGTGTGTGGTCCATGTGTGCAAGTTTCAGTGTTGTTAAGAAGTCTCTGTGGATTCATTAGATATTTAATATTCTGATAAGCTTCTAAAATCCTCATAGTGTTAGACAATTCAACGTCTATTTTGTTAGAACCGTGAGACATTTTTACTAGCTCTCCATTCTGATCCTCAGATGTGAAAGCCGACCAAACCCAGAGTGGACCCCACCTTTTAACATGAGGTTTCAGATGTAGCAACTGATGAAGATTCGATGAACATTTATTACGACCATACAAAAACTCGAAATCAATCACGAAAATATTTAAAAGCGTATGTGCGAAATCTAGTTCGGTTGAATCAATTTCTTCTGCTGATAATATTTGAATTCCGCGAGACAACAATAAAAAATGTTCGTAATATTCATCATTTAGACGATTCTTCAAAACTACAGGTCCATAGTAAACAAGAAATGCCCTAAGTTCTGAGGCCTTCCAGTCATTAATTTGGCTTAGTTTTCTTGGTGTGCGCGTAATGTTATCCGGTGGTGCAATCGATTCAAGTATTTTATCAATAGCATCTCGAACTTCTTTTGATAAATAATAAACCTTATCATGACTACTCGAATTGCACCACAGATTAATCAATGCTAGCATAACACCAAGCAGAACTCAATGCATATAGTCAGGAGGAAAACCTATTGACCTATCGAAAAAAGGTATATTAGTAACAATAGACCTTCCTTTGACTCCCCGAAAGTTTTTCAAATTGACAAATCTCTCAACAATTTCTGTTTGTATTTGCATTCGTTCGGCCGACCTTAAGGGACTATTTTCTGGATCCATTGGAAAAACCCAGTTTGTGCCGGCACCGACTACAGAACTTTCCCCTTTAGCTTCGCAATTTGCACAGCTATATTCCCCAGTATGAAGCATTACAACCTGAGTAGATGCTCTTGCTGGAGAATCTAGACTTGCAACAGGAGCAATAACTCTACTTATAGTTATTTCGTTCAACGTCCGATTAAACCATGAAAGTCCATTTCTAAATAAACGTCTTAAGGTATCTGCAAAAGGATGCAAAAAGGAGTTCATGTCTGGTTTTTCATTCTTTCTATTAGAATAAAAAAGGCCACATACAAACTGGAAATTTCTTCGAAATTTCGGATGTATATTTACAACCTGGGCATATACTGGCCACATTTGACTTTTACCACTTTTGGAGACTTGCACTCCATCAGTATACCAAATTAGGCACAAGTCATATTGGCCAGGTATAGCAGTGGTTTTTAATCGTCGAAATTCGGATCCAGACGTTAAATCGTATATTTTTTGGGGGTTTCTAGTCGCGCATTCAGCTTCGAAAAGGTCGATCAAAGTACTAAGGTCCATAATTTCGAAAGCATTTCGTAATTTTGATTCTATATCGAATTCTAGAAAGAAACTGTTTACTATTTCGCTATTGCAACGAGTACACTGCTCTATTTGAACTTCATCCCATTTTCCCAAATAATTATGACATTCAGAACAAATTCTGTGCTTCACAGAAAAATTTGATTGTGAGTGTGGTAATATCCTATCAATTAATGTCAGTAATTTATGTTTTGTTTTTGGTATTATGTGGTTTTCAGGCAAAAGAAAATTTATTGTTTCCAATAAATCTTCTAAAGCTTTTTTTGTCAACCGGTTATTAACATAAATCTTTAAAATTCGACACAACGCGTCACCAATATTTAGGGTAGCTTGAGAATAAATTGGAAGACCGAGCCAATCTACCATGTTATCATTATCACAATTATCATCATCAGTATCATTAAACGTTGCTGTAGATGACTCTGATGAAAAAAGGGATTCAGATGATGTAGCAAATGAATGTTCTTCTTCTGTTGTCGATTCTGATGTAGAAAGTGATTCAGAAGACGAAGAAATTTGGTCTAGTCCAGGTGAGTTGGTAAAAGAATTTGATCTTGAAATTGATAAAGACTCATTGTCAGTTGATAAATTTGAAGATGAAGTTGTTAATGATCTAATGAACGGCATATCAACTTGATCTTCTTCTTCAGAGTTCATTTCGACGTTATTATACGTGAACGAAGTTGATGAAGACGAAAAAGAAATTGTTGATAGTTCATCGTTTTCGTTTTCAGTGTCGGAATTCTATAAAATTTCAAAATTTAAAAGACTTTTTTAAGTCTTAACAATATATAAACCAATTTAATTAAGGAGGAATGTACCTTAAGGTAAAATTAGGAAAAGTTTTTACGAAAAAGTATTGCAGTGAGTTCTTGCGAGTCATTCAGCTCTCAAAAATTTTCAAGATCATAAAACTCACGAATCGTTCAACGCATAAGCCACGCCTCCGAGGCGATTTCAGGGATGTGTGAAGCATATTTATTGCCCCGAAAGACACAATATTTAATGGCTTTGGTCCGTTTAAATTATACAGCACTGTACACTGGCGCGTGTTTACTATAGAAATTGAACGACTCCTGAATCTGACACTGATCAGCTGTTGAACTCATTGTATAATATATTTTTATAAAACAATTATGCATGTGCTGCTCTGAGCAAGAAGGGATCTAAGCTCAAAAAATTTATAGGTTATTTTTGAACTCACATTTGTATAATAAAGAATTGAGTAAAAAATAACTGTAGCTTTAGGCAATTATATAAGTTCAGTTAAACTAAAACATTAATTTCGTTTCAGAGATTTATTGATAATTGAGGCTGTTTTCGGCGTTCGTCCCGCGTTAACTTTGAGTTAACTTTGGTCCAATCATCTATAACATTCTGTTGGATCTATCAATCACAATTAGCCTGGAGTTAAGTCGGAGCGAACGCCGAAAACAGCCTGAATAACAGTAAGCGACAATAGTTTACTGCTATTTTCGACTACCTGACTATCATTAGAGCGTACATTTAAATGTTCTGTGATTTCTTCCCAGGTTGTAAAATCATCTTAAAAATTTATTGGTTATGCAGTACTATTTAGAATATTTTAAAATCATTTTTACCGCGATAAACGGGACCTATGAAGTAAAATCATTTAACTTAACCTAACATTTTTTGTTTCTAAGAACCATTGACCTATGGAGAATATTTTACGAGATTAACACTCAAAGACCCAATGTTAATTTCAGACAAAATTTCAGAGCTATGTAAAATTATTTGATTTCAATGTATGTGAGGATACATTGAATCATAAAAAAATATTTAATTATGTCTTTGTACATTCCTCCTTAGAAACAAAATAAAAACAAAGCGTTACCATTTTAAGACTTTTCGTCTCGGATTAAGTAAAACTTGATACTTCTGAGTTTCAATAAAAGCTCCTTTGCCTTTGAAAATTCACACCTGAAAATTAATTTTTATCAAAGTACCATGGACTTTAAATAATAAATTATTAAATTTTATTAACAATTATGCAACGCTTCTTTTAACATTTTAGCGCATATTTTCCTCTAAAACTATTATTAAGTGTCTGATAATGACAATGTTTATTGATTGTTGAGGAGTATTAGTAGTTACCAATTTTGTCATGCAATAATGCAGTTTTATAGGGGATTTTTAATGTTCTACAGAAACCTTACTAATTTACTCCAAGCTTAGTAATATATTAATTGGTCTAAAGTTTTAAGTAAAACGAATTGTTTATCTATAATATAATAATAATTGATCCAATTTGTTAAAATAGCCATATCTCTCAAAATTTCAAATATAATCAAGTTGATTTTTTCTATTTAACTGAGTAAAACAAAACACATAAAATAATTAATAATCACATTTGTTATATTTTATTAATTAGAAGAATTGTTTAAAAAAAAAGAATTTGAATTTGATACTACATTATTAATAATTTGTTAAATATTTATACAATTTTTGTATTTTAATAATAACAGAAGCAGCTGCGCTGTTCTATTGTCGTCTGCTGGTATTAAAATTTCATTATTGCGATACTTTCCTTTAGCTATAAAGATACTAACACAATTCCAGACAAAATTAAGAAAATTAAATTAACCTAACCTCACTTTTTTTTACTGAAAATCATGTTAAAATCTTATGGAATCGCACAATATATATATATACGTATTTAACGTGTTTAACGTAAAAACGAAACGTCATTTTATCTTAACATTTTGATTTAGCTGATAGATATATTATTTTATATAGTAATGTGTATAAAGCCGATATTTTCTCGATAATTGTTATTGTTATCTATCAAAATACAATATACACTATATCCATTATACTATCGTAACTATACGTTCGCGAATTTAAGGTTGAGTACACAATAGCACTCTTGAACGGAACCTAAACTTAACGAAACAAATTAGCATTGTTACGTTACAATTACGTTTTGTTCAAGGTGCTATTATGGTCTCAACCTAATGGCATGTACGTTGCGTGGCTGACTTTTTATAGGTTGTCATGGTAAAGGACGAGAGTAAAGGGCCAGTCCCATATCGGCGTAAAAATAAAAAAAGTCAAAGCGTCGGCGTTAAAGTATGTAAGTGAGCGAGACAGTGATATAAGGTTGTTGCTTTCACTCTCATATAGTGTTTACGCTTTAACGTTTTTACGCCAACATGGGACTAGCCCTTAAGAGATAGAATCAAATGAAATTTGAATTTACTTTCTCTTTTACTCTAATTGTCTATCTTTGTTACTTTTATGGCTGCCTGTGCAAGTAGCTGAGCTGTGACCGAAGTATTTTACTGTAAAAAGCCACGTAATTTACCTGAGGTATTTTACGCGCCCAACCCTGTTCATTGCATGTTCGCGAATCCTTGTGTATCAGCCTTGAAGCCTAATGTTTGCTCAATTATTGTGCGTTGACCTTTACGTTCATCTCCACCAAAACATGAATTTGTAAACAAAAAGATTCCGAAAATAAATTTCAATTAAGTTGGATATTTAATTCTTTTAATTAAAGAAAAAAATGGGTGACAAGAGTCTCTTTTTACTGGATTCTTTTAGTGAAAATGGCAAATTTTATATTGTAAGAAAATCAACAATTTTAGTCACTGACGAGTCGGAAATAGAAATAGGGAGAAAAGTTCAGTTTGCACAGCCAAAAAAAGGACAAGATATTGAAATGGCAAAAATAAAAACAGGAAAAATTGTTATGAAATCAGGTAAGTATTTTGAAGTTTTTAATTTAAAAATTAGTGTCTTAATGATTAATTATGTCATAATAATAATCATAATAATGATTAATTAATATAGTACTAAATTTAGTAACTTAAGAATTTTCTTTTTTTGTCTATTTAGGTGAGCTTTTTTGTAATAATACCTCTGTTTTAAAAATTATTAAATAATCTGAAATATAAAATAACTCGCTTTACATAAAATGCGCATTTAAATATTTTGTATTTAATCTTGATATAATTTTAAAAATAATCCCGGTTGCATAAAATTAATAAAAATTATCATTACATAGAAAATATTTTTACAGAATCAGAGAAAGAGTTAACAAAATTGATGAACAAAATGAAATCAGAGATTGAGAAGAAGAAAATTACTAAAGAGGAAATGAAAGAAGAGGTAAAAAGAGAATACGATAAAAGAAGATTGGAAATAGTTAAAAAAACAAGGCAAGGAAATATTGAAATGGCAAAAATCTTACAAAAAGAGCTAAATGCTAAAATGAAAAAAAAAGATTTATTGAATGAACTTAATAATGCCCTGAGATTGACAGAAGAAGAGGGAGAGGAACTTTTGAAAATTAAAATGGTATTTATTTTTCTAATATATCGTTAACATAATTGCATAATTGTTGTATTTTTAAAATATTTATTAATTTACTTAAAATATTTAATAATTAAAAAACTTTTTGATAAAATTAACAGAATTCTCTATTTGATAGATTTGTGAAAAATTACCTTATTATTCATAATATTTATCTTTCTGCAGATTTTTTCATTTTTTTTCATCGGTTTCGAATTCCAAATTATTAAAAAACAAATTTCAACTTCGTATATTTTTTTGTCTGAACTTAATTTTAAGTGAATCTCTACGCTGAGAAATAATCTCAAAAATAATATTTAATTTTTTCAGCACACTGATAATCAATAAAAGATTGAATACAACTCTGAGTTTTATGTTACATAAATTAATTATGTCAAAATTTAAGTTCATGCGACTATGTTTTTTTTATTTGAAATTATAAATAAGAAGTTTGCTACAAGCTGTATTTAATATGTTCGTATTGTAAAACAAAACGTTAAATAAAACAAAAGTTGAATAATTCTATCAAATTTATTTCTCGTTTCTTATTGCGCTGGTAAAAAGTGTAAAATATTTAAAAATTAATTAACATGGAAGAACAAGTTCTGATTAGTGGCGATGGTTATTTTACTATAGTGTATAAAAAATCTATTATTTTTGATTCATCAAACCCAGACTTACAATTCGGATCAGAAATTTCCTATTGCTGGCCAGAGGAAGCTGCTTGTAAAAGAATTTACAAAGGAAAAGTAATTGCTACTTCGAGTAAGCAAATATAATGCAATATTTGAAATAATTTATAAGAAATTAATTAAAATATTTTAAATAAATTGAAAATATTTTTTATAAATATACCTTTTTTCTCGATAAAACATATTTTAACAAATTTTCGTATCTAGAAATGTGTAAATTACTTTTTTAAAAAAAATGATATCAAAAAATCTTAAAATTAAATAATAATAACAACATTTACTTTAACTAAAATAAAAATTTTCATTTTCTGTAATCAAATATATTTTTAAATATCATGTGCAATTTTTTTTATTATTTTATATCGTAAATTTAAAATATTTAGAGTGAAATTTTTGCAGAGCTCTCATAAAAGTTTTTAGGCTATCCACTTTTTAATTTGTCATAGTCGTATGTTTCCATAGAAACAGATGCAACTATTTGACTTCTTTTTCTTCAATTTATGTTCTGATTTTAAATAAAGTATTTTAATTGAAAAGTTTGAATTATATAATCAAAAACTTTAATAATTTGAAAAAATGTTAAATAATTTATGTAGCCGATGAAAAGGAATTGAAAAAATTGCAGTTGAAAATGCAAAATGCTGAGAAAAACACTAAGTCGAAAAATAAAAGACGTAAAATTTCCTTGGATTCCAGCGACTGCAACACAGAAGATGAATCGACACCAAATTCTTCATTAAATAAAATTAATACTGCCTTACATCTCAATAAAGAATTGAACATCGTGTTGAATCAAATTAAACAAGTAAATTAAATTTTTAGGATTAAAGTTATAGCGCTATAGAAGAGAATTATAAGATTTTTGGAAAGCAATTACATTTTCAGGCCTCGAAGTGTATGAATTATTCGACATTCTAATCTTATAATTAACTAATCTTATTTTTAAATTCTAAAATTATATATTTTTATTTGAAAATTAAGAAACAAATTAACCAACAAATAAACAAAAACTTTAATTAAACAATTTTTGTAAGTATAATTCTGAAATATTATAAATAAAATTTGTTGACAATATACATATAAATTATTTATTGAAATATTAATAAAAATTATTTAAATTCTAATAATAAATAGTCAATAATAATAAAATATTTATAATTTAATTAAATTAATAAAAAATAAAATGTTAATCCGAGGCCTGTGTGAAAAAATCTTTAATTTCCAAAATTTTTATTAATAAACAAACGAGTGATTAATTAAGTAATGAAATATAAACAAAAATAAATCAAAATTAATAATTACACATTTTTATTACAGCTCATGATAAATGGACAACAATTTGAAACCATTTCCGGAAAATCTTTAGAGGAAAACACTCTTCATTTGGAATCTTTTCAATCTCCTATCCAACTTCAAGTACATCGTCCTACTGAACTTCTTGCTAGCACCTCAGCGAGCTTTAATTCTTCTCTTGATTCGTCCCTTATTGATTGCGACAAAAAAAAAGAAAAGCGAAAGTAAAAATCTGAAAAATCCAACAGAACGTCAAAGTATTATAGTAGACAAGGAACCTAATCTGAAAGCAGATGAGGGAGCTATTGATATAACGGGCGAGGAATCTGATGATACTGCAGTCAAAAAGAAAAATGACGAAAATGAAGACGACTTCTTAGTTTTTACTAAAGAGACTGCTAATGCAGAGAAGGTATAAATCATTTTAAAAATTAGATATATCAGGGTGGCCACAAGTTTCAGTTTATCAATTTTCCTGACATTTTACTGACAATTTACTGACATTAAATTACTTTCCCTGACAAAATTTTTTTTACAGGAAAATATAATAATTGTAATTATATAAATATAATAAGATTTTTAATTTTGAAAAATTTCTAAACAATTAAAATTTGGTAAAATCTTTTAAAAATTGAATTTTTGAAAAATAGGAATAAAAATAATCAAATTTTTGGAAAATATTAATTATAAACAGGATTATGATTTCTCAAAAATTTTAATAAGTCCAAAAAGTATATTTTTATTTACATTTTTTGAAGATAATTGAATCTTAAAAAATTATTATAAAACAATTCCAATAATTAGTTTTCAAAAATATTTCTAATTTTTAATGTAATGTTTCGAAAATAATTGAATTTCTTAATAAACATTTTGCATAATTTAAAAAAACTAATTAATTTTTTTAATTGTAATTAAAATTTTTTAACTTGTTTGTTTTATGCAAAAATGTTAAAAAGAATTCTAAAATGTTTTTATTTTTGTGTGTATTTGAATTTTTGGAAATATGCATGTAATTGAAAATACTGAAAATATTGAATTTTAAAAAATTAGAAGCTAATTTTCATTTTCAAATTTACCTTTAAAGATTTTTCAATTAAAATTTTTGATATTTCAATTATTTTCAAAATTTGCAATTAAAATTCTTCAAAAAATGTAAACAAATACTTGAAATGAATAAATTATTTTCAATTAAATTTATTAAATTCTCAATTTTCTAAATTTCCCTGACAAAAATTTTTTCCTGACATTTCCCTGACTTTACTGACATAGCCACCCTGATATACATAATTCTGGCTAATTAGGGTAACCATAAAAAGTAATCCTAATTTTCGTCAGTAAGTAATATCACAACCTTCTCATTTATTAAAAATAAAAATTGTCTCTGCTTGTTCGATTCGCCAAAACAACAAATCAAGTCGAGTCTCCAAATACAAAAATAAATTTAATTTAAAATTTTATTCGAAAGTACTATATTTTAATTTTTTGAAGTCACAATTGTAACTTTTTTATTTTAGGCAACGGAGTTATTCACTGGAAGTGATGTTTATATTGACAAATTAGAATTTAAGAACATCAAGCGAACAGCTGGATCCCAAACATCACTGGCTCGATCACTTATGGTCGCTATATTTAAGGAGAAAGCACTTATTACATGCAGTCTTTTCAGAAAGGGGAACAAGGATGCAGAAACGAAATGTCTTCCCAATAATGCTGTTAAAGCTATATTAAGTAAGATATACAATAAAATTTATTTTTAAATGGTAAACTTTTGATTTAAATAAATTTATTTAAATATTCTTTTACTATACATAGGATTATAGGTCAGAGATAATAGGTCGGAGAAATCAGGAACAAAAAAAAGAATTTTACCAAAGTTATCCAAAAAATATCAAATTCATAAAAGAGAAACGAAAATTTTTTTATAGCTTTTAATGCAAATTTTCACTTCTGAAAATTATATTTTTTTAAATTAAACTTCCCTCAAATTTTTTGATCAGGGTACAAGTTTACTTTAGTTTATTCAATATCTCCTTTATGTAGAAGTTAATAATGATTCATTTCTAGAAATGCTGACAATATTTTATAGTTTTTTAATTACAATAAACAATTGTGTAAAAATATTATTTGTTTTGTAGGTTTTTCTCGTCGTTTTGCTGCTACCAAGGAGGATTGGAAGTTAATTGATGACACAGCAGTAAAAGATAGTATGCGATCGAAATTAAAAGAAATGAGAAAGAAGTCGAAGAAAGAAAGCAAGTCATCGACTAAATAGCTTGAAATTGGGGAATTCGACCTTATACCATCATCTACTTTCCTTAAAGGGCATCTGAACCATTATGACGTCACAATTTGTGCAAAGCATATGTTCTAAAACCATGACGTCATAATGGTTCAAGTGCCCTTAAATCTTTGGTTTTTCATTTTTTTTCATTTTTGGTTTTTTTCATTACAGATATTTAGCTTAGGCCACGGATCAGTTTCGGAAGAGATAAAAGGAATAAGAAAAAAACAAAAAACTTTGATCAAAATTAATGAGGATGGGGCAATTTTTCGTTCTTACATTAATGGTAAAATTTATTGCTTAACTCCTGAAAAATTTGTACAAATTCAACAGAAATTAGGTGCAGATTAAATCCTAGTTTTAGATGAATGCACTTTTTTATAATTGTTGAAATAAGAGTTACTATTGAAATATTTATTTTTTAAATTATAACTTGTCAAATATAAAAAACTTTCTACTAATACAGAATTGTATTTTTTATTTATATTATGTAGGTACTTGCTCTAAAAATTGCTTTTTTATTAAATACTTTAAAAAAATAGTTTCTAAATATAAAAAAATGATTTTTTTAAATATAAATTAGTAATTATTAGTCAGAAAATAGTTAAAAATTTAACTTAACATTAAAATAGAAAAATCAAGGGAGATTTACTGGTTTAGATAGTGTACCATTAACTACCATTATTATAATAATTACTATATATTTCGGCATATAACACTCAATTACTATTTTTTACAAAAGTATTACTAGGATAATTAATTAACCTGGGCTAATTCCCTCTCGAGAAAAATAACCAAATTAAATTCTCTGAAGAAAATCAACTTCTAGTACCTACCCGTTTGAGAAATTTTTTTTTGTCTAATAGATTAACTTCGCTAAAGAAGTTAAAAAAAATTATCCACATTTTAGGTAGACGCTTGGTGACTTTTTGACAAATTTGATTTTTTGGTATTCTTAAGTGATTTTCTACAAAAAAAATACTCCCAGAATTACTCCCGGAATTATTCCTGCGAACATTCGGAAAAAAGTTCCTGGGAATCTCCCGGAATTCTTATAAAAAAAATTCTCGAGAAACTCCCGGGAGTCACTCCCGGAATCGACTCCGAGAGACTCCCGGGAGACTCTGGGAACTTTTCATAGTCACCGCTTGCAATGCGTCAATGCCACGCAAAGGCGCCATTTCCGTAAGAAAATCCTTGCACTGGTGGTCAGAGGAGCTAGCCTCCTTAAGGTAGGAATGCCTCAAAGCAAGAAGGACATATACCCGATCTCAGGGAGATCCCTTGCTGAAAGAGGCTTTCAAGGAGGCGAAAAAGGACCTCAAGAAGGAGATCCGCAAGTCGGGACGCCGTAGCTGGAAGGACCTAATCGAGGAAGTCGATAAGGACCCATGGGGTCTGGCTTTTAAAATCGTGACTAAGAAATTAGTAACAAGGCAAAAGACCCCCGGCCTGGACAATCCCGATTGGGTCAGAAAGATAATAAGTTCTTTGTTTCCTCCTGCAGAACCATACCTTAGAAGGGACTGGAGTTTTTGCAAAGTCGAAGAGGAAGAACTCTTCACACTTAGTGAACTGCAAAAAGCAGGCAAAAGATTGAAAACAGGCAAGGCGCCTGGAATCGATGGGATAAGTAACGAGATCCTAAAGTTGGTTATCGAAACTTTACCCCAGATTCTGCTTCTATGCTTCAATCTTTGCCTTGAGAGGGGAAAGTTCTTCCGCAACTGGAAGCGACAGAGGTTGGTCCTCCTGAGGAAAGGTGAAAAACCTTTAGATAAGGTTTCATCGTACAGGCCTATATGCCTGTTGGATACTATGGGTAAACACCTAGAGGATATGGTTCTGCAGAGAATGCAAAGCCACTTGACGGAAGAGAATCGTCTATCCGATCACCAATTTGGTTTCCGTAAAGGCAAGTCCACAGTTGATGCCATCCAGGCAGTTGTGGACATAGCCAAAGCAGGAAAAAACAAATTGGGACCTGGAAAAAAGAAGAGCTTCTGCGCGTTGGTAGCAATTGACATACGCAACGCGTTTAATTTCCCAAGATGGAAAGATCTCATCGAGTCTATGAAAAAGAAAAACATGCCGCCTTACTTGTTGCGGATAATGGATAATTATCTTAGCGACAGGTGGGTTATATATGAGGGAGACACCTGCACTCTCAGGGAAGAGATGCAGCGTGGGGCTCCTCAAGGCTCGAGGGTGGGTCCATTTGTATGGAATGTATCTTACGATGATTTTCTGCAAATGGATCTGCCCGAAGGTGCGGTGATCATCGGCTTTGCGGACGACGCGTTGTTCGTGTGCACTGCCGAAAGTGAGGAAGCTCTTGGGACATTGGTGAACGAATGTCTGCGACTAGAAAAAAGCTGGCTGAATACAAGAGGTCTTAAAATGGCCCTGGAAAAGACCGAGGCACTGCTGGTCACAGACAGACGTGGTTATGAGCTCCCACGAATCTTTCACGATTAATGCCGAACGTAGGAGAACCCCGTGAACAAAAACGGAGACTGGTGGCGAGTGTCGCCCACGCTACAATGCTCTATGCAGCACCAGCGTGGGCCCTATCCCTGAGGAGTAAGAGATGTGTGACCATCTGTAAAAAGGTACTGTCGGCGCAGAGATCGATAACAAAGCGTATCATCTCTGCATATAAGACGGTATCTACGAGTGCTGTGCAGGTCCTTGCAAGTGTCCCACCAGCAGATCTTTTGGCGAGGGAAAGGGAAGAAATGTTTCTCTTTTCTAAAGAAAGAAGTTCCTTGGATGAGGAAATAAGACCAAGCAAGGGCCTGATCCGCAAAGAAGCGAGGCACAGGCTCATATAAAAATGGCAAGAAAAATGGGATGGTGAGGAAAAAGGTCGATGGACATATCGCCTTATCCCGTCACTCGCCACCTGGATAAATAGGGAACACGGTCAGATTTCCTATTATCTGACTCAGGCGCTCACAGGTCACGGGTGTTTTAACTCGTACCTGTCTGTGCCGCTTTAAATTACGCGAGGACGAGTTGTGTGCATATTGCCAGTTCCCTGAGGACAACGCGGAGCACACCCTCTTCTCATGCAGAAAATGGGACTTGGAGAGGCGGGCCATGTTCGAAGGTGTAAACAGTCAAGTTACACCGGAGAACATGGTATCGCTGATGACCCAGTCAGAAGAGAATTGTCGGCAAGTCGAGAACTTCATAATCTCGGTTATGTCGAGGAAGGACCTCGACGACCGCCAAAAAAGCGTAATTTAAACAGCTTTTAAATTTGTTTGTTCGTTTTTTATTAATTTATTTTGTGATTTATTTATTTGTTTACTTTTTTTTCTTTTCTTTTTTATATCCGTTTGCGATATTATCTTTTGACTTTTAACACTTCTTAAATAATTTTGTTTTTACAATACCAAAAATCATCTATAAAATTTCTAAATTGAAGACAAATAATTTTTTATAACCATTTTTATTAATTATTTATAATTTTTGGCTCAACGTAATAGTACGTGATAGTTCCATAGAGATGGCAGCATTAATATTGTTTCGAAATGAAAGAAACTTAAAAAAGTTTTTTCTTCATTAATTTTGAAGACGAATTTAGAAAAACCATGAGATTTTTCATAAAAAATAAGTGTGATTACATTTTTGACAAATATTTTACATTTTAAACGAATCTTCCGAATTTCGGAAAAAATATCCATTCTTATTATCACTTGTAACAACTGCACAACAGGTACATTTTTTACAATAAAACATTTTATTAAAAGTAGGGGAGACTGGGGTAAACCCGCTCACTTTTTTCAGATCGGCTAAAATCTAGGAAAATATTCTCTAAATCCAAGTTAATTTATATCATTTGAAAGCTTATGATTTCTACTAAAAAAATAAAAAAGAGTTTTTGATTTATCTTTTTTAGTTTTACTTAGAGAAACTTTTTAATAAACATATACCAAATTTCGAAATATCAATTTTCCAGGGTAAACCCGCTCACTTTATCTTTTCAAGACGGAACAGTTTTATTTTTTAAATATTAAAGTTCGTCTTATTCCCGTCTTAAGTATGATTTATTATTGATAATTTATGAGTTATATAAACAATTCTATAAACAAAAAATTGGTTTAATAAATAATGAACATAGATTTCATGAATTACAACTATGGATTTAAATAGTGTTATATTTTATTAAGAGAAAGTGAAATGTAGTTACAATTTTGGTTTTAATAAGTCATAAATTGTGTTATTGTTGAAATATAATACGTGAAATTATTTTATTCTAAATTTTAAATTTAAAACTAAGTGAGCGGCTTTACCCTGACTTCACGTGAGCGACTTTACCCCGAGTGTATTCCTCACATTTCAGAATAAATTTAATTAAATCTTTTTAAAATAAGACAAAACTATATATGTACTCTGATGAATGACATCCAATAGCAACAAAAAAAATTTCCCAGATAAATTAATACTCAAAAATAATGATCGAAAAACTTTAAAATCCAAAATACGTTTTTTTTCTGACACCTCTAAAAACATTTGATCGTCTCTAATTCTATGTTGAATTCATGAAACTAAACGAAAGTTCGTTAATATAAGTTGAATGTTAAGCACTATTCACAGTACCAATATTTTCATCTTAAGTTGAGTTCATAGCGTCAAATCGCTAGTGAGCGGGTTTACCCTGTGCGCGAGTTTACCCCAGTCTCCCCTATACACTAAATGTTGACAACCAAGGCAGTTTTTTAAATCTTAATCCTCATAGAATTGATATTAAAAAAATTTACTTTGTTAAGTATAAAGGTCTATTAATTATTTAAAAAATATCAGGCAGAGAAATATTTACTTTTAGCACCTAGTCTCCCCGCACAGTAAAAAGAAAATCTTATATTAAGGCACGAAAGCTGCCTTAAATTAAGATGCAACATTTTTAAGACAGTCAATGTTGAATTTACGCACATTTTTCGTATCCTTTAACATTACAGCAGACAGTGTTGAATTTAAGGCAGCTCTTAAATTAAGATTTACTTTTTACTGTGCGTGTAATACCGCGTAATATCGAGTAATAATGCCTTATTACGTCGTCGTAATACCCGAAAATACCTAGTAATACCTCTGTAATAAGTTGTAATAAGCAGAAATATTTGGTAATTTTTGTAATAATAGTCTAATAACGGTAGTCAATGATACACTATCTAAACCAGTAAATACCTCCTCGGTTCATTAAGTAATCAACGCTTCAATTCATTCTTTATAGGGGAGTTCCATGAGCTAATTGAATGCAGTACAGGGTAAACTTTCAATCTCAGATTTTCTTTATACTCTGTTATTTTGTTGTCTTAGAAATTAGAAAAATAGAAATTTATTGTGGAAGAATATGAGAAACT